AAACCCAAAGATCATGCATGATTCTACGCAGACGCTACAACAGGATGAATATTTGATGCAGTTGTATCAGAAAAACAAACAAGAGAAGAATAATTAAGTTCAAACTCTTGTGCGTGTGCACATATGGTGCAATTAGACATACTGTATTGTCTACATGTTCAGTTTATGATAATCATCAGTTTGACCTGTGTTTACAGGCTATAGCAGAACTGGTGACCGAGAAGGATCTTGCAGAGGGGCGTCTGTATCCTCCTCTCAACAGCATCCGGGAAGTTTCCATCAAGCTGGCTGTGAAGGTGAGCTCGACTCTCAAGCTACAGCCGTGATTCATGCATGTCGCTGTTTACACATTCTTTGTGCTTGTGTTTTTTTTTTTTACATAATCGTTTTATGTGCATCATGACAGATTGTGGAGTATGCCTACAAAAACAAAATGGCAACGCTGCATCCGGAGCCGCATGATAAAGAGGCTTTTGTTCATTCGCTCATCTTCAGCACAGAGTACGAAGAGTTTGCAGTGGATTCGTACAGCTGGCCTGAGAATGCCATGGCTGTCCAAATGTGCAAACTGTGACCTCCAAAATACACAGACCAGAATGAGATTTAGAATGTGACAATTCTGTTTCTGTTTTAAATATGATTTCTTGACATGATTGTAATACTGAACAGTACTGTAAACAAAAAAATTCCCTTAATAAAATGTCATTTATTTCAATTTCTGGGAATTAACTCGTACATTGGAATTCTTTACATTTCTCATCGTCCATAAATCGTTAATCAGGATGCATGAGGGATGTGCAAACTGTGACCTCCAAAATACACAGACCAGAATGAGATTTAGAATGTGACAATTCTGTTTCTGTTTTAAATATGATTTCTTGACATGATTGTAATACTGAACAGTACTGTAAACAAAAAAATATCCTTAATAAAATGTCATTTATTTCAATTTCATGAGAGTTACTCAGTACATTGGAATTCTTTACATTTCTCATCGTCCATAAATCGTTAATCAGGATGCATGAGGGAACATACAACACTGTGGATGCTCATTATATATATATATATATAGAAGAAGAAGAAGAAGGTCTGAGGGAAGAAACTGTTCCTGTGTCTGGCCGTTCTGGTGCTCAGAACTCTGTAGCGTCGACCAGATGGCAACAGTTCAAAGATGGAGTGTGCTGGATTTGAGGGGTCCAGAGTGATTCTGCCAGCCCTTTTGCTCACTCTGGATGAGTACAGTTCTTGGAGACAGCAATTCGTCTCTGGTGAAACTGATTGCAGGGATATAACTAAAGACAGGACAAACTAACAAAAACAACTGCGGAGCACGCCACGGAGGCAGCCATCAGCGTCGGCGCCATCTCTAATTGAATATATACTGTATATATATATATATATATACAGTATATATGCTTTCATCAGACCATAATTATTAAGCCCCTTTCACCTTTAAAATACTTGTAATATCTAAATCTTGCCTAATGAGTCACTCTCTTCAATAAAAGCAAAATTCTGCCTCCAGATTTATAAAGTAGAGATTTTTGCATCATGCACATTATTTTAACACCATAACCAATATCTGTAGATGTTTCTGCAACTACTAATTAGTTGGTACACTTCCTGTAGCAGTTACACTGAATCTGTTGAAGTGCTTGTGTTGAAAACATTGGCAGAACTTAATGAGCCATCATTGCTGCCAGCTGAGTGCTTTATAAAGGTTTTTTTGATGCCATTGTTCTTAGTATGTATTTATGCAAGTGATGTATTTAGAGACAACATTGTCTTAATTATCTTTTAAAATGCCAGGTTTGGAGTGAGACCTGAAGACAAAATTGTCTATTTCAAAAAAGTCCCTTTAAGGCAAATCAGTTCACTTGGCAGCCAGTTATTTTCCATAGTTAGCATTTTCCATCTATTTTAGGTGAGAAATTCTGTATATATATAAAAAAAAAATACATAAACTCTGCCAACATTACGGTTTGATAACATTATTCAAATTGCCAATAAAACCTGTCAACAACTGTAAAATAAATTTGTCTTTTAAGCTAAAATCACTTTTTCCACCTGGTTCAACTAGTACTCAGTGAAGCTGTCTGTTCCCCCCTCTTGATCTATTTGGCCACTGTTCTTCCGTTACCTTTACATGACCATAGTAAAACTTGCTTTCCTCTTCAAACAGAGTACTGTGTAATATTCATTCATTTCCTGTCATCAGTGCAAACACTCCACTTATTATATCACTGTGGGTTTGGCCAGATAAACATCTCAATTACTGCAATTTGTTGTACATTTACCAAGTGCTGAGATCTGTGCTGCTGGAACATGCTGTTCCTTTGGGAATACCCTCAAAATCTGTGGATTTAAGACACGATATTTTATAAGCAAAGTTCGGGAGGAGCATGTTCAAATGATCTACCCAATCAGCTTGAGAGGAGGCCTATATATATTCATGGCCGACCCACCTACGTTCCTCGACAGATTTCCGCATCCCTCCACCACCCTATCTCCTCACTCTTGGCTTGATCCTATTCCCAACTAGGTGCATGGGGGAGAACTCTGGGTTGGGGCCAAATTCTGAGCTCGGAGCTCTCCCCTCAGACAGCACGCCAAATATGCATAACCTTAACTCTATCTGATCATATGTAAGTGTGAACTCGTGAAACAGAAATTATAATCTAAGACTATTCTTTAGTTGCACATTTACGTCATTCCTACAGTGGGAAACGATGGGATTTGCATGTCAATCATGTTTAATGAGAAGTTTCCTTACTTACAACAGCCGTCTCAGGTGATATATCACAGATAAATGTTTAAAGAAATCTAAATAAAGATTAGGAACCCACACTGCAAGATCTACAGCCCTCGATGGATACTAAGATAAAGGCTTTGATTCATTTTTAATGTACTCAAAACAAGTTTTCTGTCTCTGCCTGTCATTTCATATGAACTATATGCACAGTTATTGCTTTAGAACATTAATGAAATCTAGAGTGTTCATTTTTCAAAGAAAATTTTGAAATGGTAAAAAAAATGAATTCTCTTCATGTTAGAAGAGAAAAGATGTATTTTTATGATCTTAACTATATGTATACTTTATGGCCCACTGATGACACATCATACAAATGTAACCAAGGTAACACACAGGAACACTGCATGATAGCACAATTTACATTTCATTAAGGCTCCTTCATTTAAAGAGGAATCAGGGAGTTTGCTTATGGTGGTACAGCTATGCCAATGAATCTCATTAATACTTTTTCTCATCCAAAAGATTGATGCATTTATTGGATTTTTGTGCTCCACCGGGCTTGTTGGAAATATTCTTGTTTTGGTGACTATTTTAAGGTGAGTTTACAGGTTGACGAGGCAAAACTATCTTTTTAATTTATTTAGCCTACTTCGCATTTGTTCAAATATTATAAAAAAAATAAAATAAATAAAAAAACAAGAAAAAACAACAACACATTAACTTAATGACATGTTAAATTCGTTATTGCTTTTATAGGCTATACCTCTACCTGGAATGGTATTTGTGGTTGAAGATTTTCTCTTTCTATATAGACAAATACCTGTGTAGGCTATAGGTAGAAAGAAATATGTCAAATTCCAAAGAAAAAAAATCTAATGTAATCACAACATAACAAATAATAAAGCATGTTTATAAAGATTTACGAATGTTTTGGAAAGCATTATTGAAAGGATAGAATTGGATTTGATAGTTTTAATAATTGTATAGCTTAAATGAGATACTGCCACTATACATTTAATATCTGGTTCATTTTTCATGCAAGTTTAATTATATATGACAATAATAGATCATTTAATTTGATCATTTAAAAAAAAAAAAAAAAAATTCTTAATA